ATGGTATCAAGTGTGGCTACATTCGCAAACCAAAATTTATAAAGGGCAAACAGATACGCAAAATCGCCCTTTCCTGGATCACCAGAAGTGGGCCCCTAACTCTTCCGGAAAGTGGACTCTTCACTACAAATGACGAGTGGCCTACTTCATAACGCGACCTTGTGTATTACGACAGTGAAAGTCGCTAGGGAGAAAGTGTATATGAGAGTGAAAGTAAGCGATATAGATTCTGTTCAGTTGGTCTTTCAGAACGTAAAATTGTTCAAGTGATTTTGAGAAACGGTGTTCTGGAGTCTGGAAGAAATTGAAAGATATTTCAGAGGGGCTTACTACATTATCTGCATTTTCGACCATATTCTGAGAGACTACATCAAAGAACACAACCATCTTCATACTCGCCGTGAGAACCTGAAATCTCAGAAGTAAACACGCACATTAATAACTGAAAATTGGGCATGGTCATCTGCGTACACTTTCTAAACGGGCAATACTAATATGGTTTGACAAAGCCAAACGACAACTTTAACGAGAGGAATGTTTTCCCTACCGGAGAGTAATGTACATTTCGTACGGGGAAGAGAAGAGATCAAACCGATTGTGGGTTGGATTTGTCAGTAATGGTCTGTGTGCTTTTGAATTTCATTCAACGAAAGCGTACCACGGAGAGACAAGACTGGCGTCTCACAGACAAGTCCACTTTAACATGACCCTGTGAAATTTTAATGGACCTCGTATGAAGATGAGAAAGTTACCGACCACGTGATGGAAAAAGAAAAAACATAATTCTTAACTGTCTGAATCAAAAACAGATGCCTTTACATGTGTTTGGGGGTACAGTAGAGACGAACAACCAAGTTTCAAGGAACAATAACAGTCAAATCTGGTTACGAAATTGAGATATCTCAGGGAAAGTAACACTTAGCTTTCCGACTTACCATTTCGAGCTTAACACTATATATGCATCGGGACTTGAGATACTGATGAACGAATCAAAACACGGCATGATTATGTTTAGACCGAAGTTTAGTATCTGGTTCAAATTCCACAATTTCATTATTTTACACTTTATTATACTTTTTGAAGCTTAGGTTTTCAACGCGGTGAGTCTGAAGATGGCTGTCTTCTGGGTTGTAGCGCCGTGTAGTCTGGTAGGAGTTAACAAACATTTCAGTGGTCCTTCCTGCCTCCATCCTAAGATGATGACTCCTGAAACGTCGGTAAACTTCTACCAGACTACAACGCAGAAAAGACGGTTATGTCAGCACTCAGCCACGAGAACCTCAAATTCAACTTTTGGTTAGTATTAGCAGCGCAGATGTCAATTCTCTGTGATTCAATGCGAAATATACAATCTTTACATCGGAGATGAGTCGGGATGACTTTTCGGACCCAAGAGATAGTCAGTTCTGACGCAAGTTGAGTCAACAAGCGATAGGATTTATTTTTATTTATTTATTTTCATTTAGCTTGCAAAGTGGTCGGCCTACAGCATACAGATCTGGCAACGTTGCTACAAAAGCAGGAAGTACCTGAAGACCCTTGAATTTAATATTATGCAATGCTCTATCAATACGCCCTCCATCGTCAATATTGACGGCGACTAGTAAAGTCAAGCAAACCTCATGGCACGCAACAACCAAGGTGTCCGTCAAGATAACTTCGGCTCTCAGACTGCAGTGGCTTCTCCGATGAAAACGACACACGAGGACATGCAGGGGACCTGATGCACGATAAAACGCCCGAATACCATAACGTCAAATATTACAAAACAGTCTACAATGTTTTTTGTACTTTAATCCATGACCCACATTCCACTGTCGTCAACGCTCGCGACATTGATTAGAGGTGTCACGTATCTAATTAAAGATCGAATCGTTTTAAGTAATAGGTTTACTACTGCAGTGGTTCGTCTCGTTGTATCTTAAAGGATGGTAAAATGGGTTATTTTCCTTCTAGGGTCCAAATACTATTATAAGATATGAAACACCGCGATAAAGAATGCTTTTAACAGTGGATTTTTTGTATCTCATATCAAAATCCATGTGGAAATGCCAAAAACTGTCTTAAAATTAAAAATTTGGATTTAGTACTCCAACGAACACCAAATCAAATTTTATTTCATAAGGAATTTGAGGTTTCCACGCAGTGAGTGTACAAATTGTGGTCTTTTGGGTTGCAAAACACTTGCAGCGTATCTGGTGGAAGTCGGCCACCTAGTCTAGCGGTTACCCTACTGAACCAGTATTTAAAGGTGCCTGGTTCAATCCCAGCCGTCGCCACTAATACGAAAATAGCAGGAAGTAAGGAAAAGTACACTGCTGTTGCATGCAGAAACGGACCAATGTTTCAGAGGTGCTCACTGCCGCCATCATCAGGGCGATGTTAAGTTGCACCCGGTTCGAACCTCGGCTTAGGAAATAACTGTTTTGAAGTTTTCGCGGTTTTACTCAGTTTCCACATTAGAAAATACTACGCCAATGTCAGTATTACGTATGACAAAAGAAGAAAAAATAGGTACTCGAATACTTGGATACATTGTAAATTAAATTGAAGCATAAGACACGATTCTTTGCCCCCCTTTCCGTCCCCTAGTGCCCTGTTTTGGACGGGGAGCCGAAAGACTGTTGCGATGTAAAAGCCTGCACTAGCGATCAAATTAGCATTGTATTAAAATTACTCCTTCGTATTCAAAAACGGAAAATTCGCGGAATCGCAGTGTTTCAGTGGAATCTGCGCGTGACAGCATTTTCTCGTGGATGCTCTTGCATTATACTGAAACATAAAACGTGGTTTGATCTG